GCCGAGTTGGCCTGCGCTGCAGCTGCAGCCTAGTCTAGGAGTGGTGGACTTCAGACACTTCATAGTTCTATTATATTTGAATTTATAGTTTTGTTTTATATTCCTTTCTTATTATTTTTCATTCATTTAATATATATATGTATATGAGTAGCTCTACTAAAAGCATAGAAAAGTATAATAAACATCCAAACATATATATATATATATTTGTATTTATATTTATTATTTATATACTTATATTTATATTTATATATACTTGAATAAGTGTGTGAACGTCTGAAGAGTGTGGCAGTCAGTTTGCTGCGTTGAGGTGTACGTACACCTCAGATCTGTGCAGCTGCTGCTGGGGCTTACCTGTGGTGTACGTGCACCCGAAAAAGTTAAGAAGGTTTTAGTGGATTTTTGCGAAATGGAGCAGCAAAGTGAGTTTCTCCCTTTGAATTTAAATTTAATTTGCTGCAGCAGCCGCAGCAGCAACAACAACAGCAGCAGCAGCAGCAGGGGCTTAAAGTTGAACTAAAGCTGCAACTAAAGAAAGAAAAAGACCTTTTGTTTTTCACTTCGTCTCCTTCGAATTTGGGAACTTGGGGAAATCTCTCATTGCTTTTGGTGCTGTTCTGCTGCAGTTCTGCTGCAGTTCTGCTGCAGTTCAAGTTTGGCGTTATTCGTGCTGCTGCTGCAGCTGCTGCTGCTGCAGCTGCTGCTGCTGCAGCTGCTGCTGCTGCAGCTGCTGCTGCTGCAGCTGCTGCTGCTGCAGCTGCTGCTGCTGCAGCTGCTGCTGCTGCAGCTGCTGCAGCTGCTGCTGCTGCTTCTATTTGCTAAAATGAAGTTAAAAGAATTAAACTATATTTGATATCATTTTCTATTTTTGAATCCAAAGACAACACAGTCGCCCCGAGCTGCTTTTCTAGTTGAAGTGCTTTGCTGCTGCAGCGCAGAAGTGCAGCAGCAGCTCGCTGCAGCAGCAAATGAGATTTTCCTTTTTGCTGCTGCTGCTTTTCAGTGTCGGTGTACGTACACCGCTGCTGCGGTGGACGTAAACCCCAAGTGTGCACTGCTGCAGGGCCTCATTTTGCTGGAATTCTTTAATGAAGTTTCTTCGGATTTGAAGAAATATTTGCAAAAGAAATATCATTTAAGGGGCACTTTCGCATTTCTGCTGCTCTTCTGCTGCTCGTTTCTGTGCTGCTGCAGCTCATATTCAGTTGTGCTGCGCTGCTGCTGCGCTGCTGCTGCACTGCAGCGCCGCAGCAACGCAATTCGCCTTTTGCTGCAAGGCGCGGCTTGCTGCAGAAGCCGCTGCTGGTGGCTTGTCGGGATTTCAGAGTTGCTGCTGCTGCTGCTGCTGCTGCTGCAGTTTGTCGGGTAGCTCCCTGGGCGTCAGCCGCTGCGACTCAGCAGCAAAGTGGAATTGATGGCATTTTATCATTAATGGCAAAGTTGCTGCTGGCGGAGGCGCAGCAGCAGCAGCAGCAGCAGACGAAAAGGAGGCCTGGGCAGTGTGGGGGCTGCTGCAGCAGGCGGGTGAGGGCAGTGGGGGCTGCTTTTTTGGGATTTTGAAGTGTACTCACACTGGAAAAGGAGATTTAAAAAGATAAATTGGTCGAAGTTGCGAAAAATAAAAGCAAAAAGGGGAAAGAGTCGATCGCGGGCTGGAGTCGCTCAGCCAGTGGTCTGCTGACTTGCAAAGGCGCAGCAGGGGGCTCTGGCGAGTTGCACACTGGCTACACATTTGTTTTCTTTTTCGCTTTTTTACTTCGAAATAAAGGAAATAAATGCGGTGCTTTTGGCGTTTTAAAGGGGCTTTGGGGGCGCGGGAAGACCCGGAATCGCGGGAGGAATCGGGAAGTTGAATGGGTGCTGCTGCGGTTCCTCCGAGCTGGTTTCGACTCCGTAGATCACGCGGAGGCTCCTTTTCGCGTTCGAGGCTTTTGTCTTTCGAAAAAAAATGAAATACTCTTGACTATCGAGACGCGGATCTTTCCGTGTTTCTTGAAACTGAAGAAGAAGTGGCGCGTCAGCTTACCGCGCCACTTCCTCGGAGGTGTCTGTACACCCGAGTCGCTTTCGCGCTTTCCCGCGTCGCTCCTTCTCCACTCCTTTACTAAACATCTTTTGCCTTTCTCTCTGGCGACAAGTGGCTTTTTTACTGTTTTTCATCTCAAGTGGCGCTGCTGCGCTGCGCAGCAGCTCAGATTCGAAGCAGCCGCGGGTCACTGCGCTGCTTCCCGACTTCTCCGTTTTTTCGCAACTGCCTTTTGACGCTGAGTCCTTCTCCTCGGCTCTAGACGCAAAGACACAGTTGCCTCCGAGCTGAAATCCCGGCCGCCCTCCGCGTCGGCAGCAGCAGCAGCAGCAGCAGCAGAGCGCCGACGGCAGCAGCAGCAGCAGCAGCGGCGCGCGGGTGTTTGCTGGCCTGCTGCTGCGGCTCCGCTCCGGCCTAGAAGACCAGGGAAGCCCCTCCGTCTCTGTTGCTTCTTTTGCTTCCTTTGCTTCTCTGGAGATCCCCGAAGTTGTCGGGTGTCTTGAAAAATAATTATTCTGTTTCTGCAAAATGCCTCTGGGGCTGCTGACGGACGCGGAGGTCCAGTCGGCTCCTCCGGAGCTGTTCCATTTGCGGCGCGAAGTGGCCGAGGGGACCAGCAGCAGCAGCAGCAGCAGCAGCAGCAGCAGCAGCAGCAGCAGGAAGGAGAGGGAGTTCATAGAGGCGGCAGCTGCGGTGCTGCAGCAAGACCACGAGGCCGCTTGTCCGTCACTCTGAGTCGCTGGTGTCCCGTTGCCGGTTGTGCGTGTTAGGCTGCTGCTGCTTTGGCTGCTGCTGGTGCTTTTGCTGCTGCTGCCGCTGCTGCAGTGTGTGTGTTGCTGCGGGGCTTTTTGGGCCTGAAAGGGGGTGGGGTTGGTGGGCGTTGTGTGCACAGTCACAGCTCGTTACCGGGAGGCGTCTTGGGGTCCGTTGGCGCCGAGTGTGGGGTCTGCGGAGTTCGCCGCTGCTGCTGCTGCTGCTGCTGCTGCTGCTGAGGGCGGTCCGGCGAAGGGCGAGGGGGCTGCGCGGGGCAGCAGCGGGCGGGGAGCGAAGGGGCCGTTGCGGGGCGACGCGGTGCTGCTGCACAGCAGCAACACGAGCGAGCGGAGCAGCGGCAGCGGCGGCAGCAGCGCGCGGAGCAGCAGCAGCCGCAGCAGCAGCAGCAGCAGCGCGCTGAGCAGCAGCTGGGAAGCGGACAGCGCGCGCGCGCGCCCCTGCGCCACGGCGGGCGCCCGC